TCAGAGCTGGGTCCAGATTGACGCATTTGTGCGTTTCACAGTCCAAGGAATTCTTAGCATTCGTCTCCAGCACCATATCTTCAATACATCAATCCTTTGTCTTTCGGTTCAGAATTGTCCACGTTTCAACTACATACAGGAAGATAGAAAATGCAGGTCGCACCAGTCTAATCTTGGTTTTGAGACCAATTCCTCTGATCTAGATGCCCTTTATACAAGTCCCTTTTTATCTCGACGAGATATATATATAACAGCTGCCGTCATTGCAGATTAGAGATTCGAGGTACGTGTAGTGGTCAACGTTATTATTCAATAACGACGTAAAAATACTTTATCAGCGATCAGTACCTAAGCTCATCCATCATCATCTATAGCCTTTACTACTCCACTGCTGGACATATTCCGCCTCTCCAAAGAAAGGAGGTTTTCGCTTACTATACCACGCCAGACGGGTCCAGAAGGCGATAACTACCTGGACCCCTCCTAAACTGGAAGCGCAAAGAGGGCACACCGTGTGGTTTTAGTCGGTTCGAGTCCGACACACCGCCCGGCCGAACGAGAGCCCCGGCGGGGTGACGGTCCGAGGGGATTACCACACGTAAAAAAAAAAAAAAAAAAAAAGGGTTGTTACAAGTTTACTAATCTTTGCAGTGTTGTTATCCTGCGTAGTTTGCTCCTTAAGTCGGCTCTTAAGACACCCACGTGATAACTAGGGGTGGTGGTACCAAAGTTGGCGTTATAATATTATATGCCATTTCTAAGACCCTTACCAGAATATGATCATCTCTGTTTCAATTATTGGTAACTGATAGTTTTACAGTTTATTTAAAGAAATAGTTAGCAGACGGGTCACTTGATTTTAAGTGACTGCTACCGCTCATCTGCACCTGCAGCTCAAGAGTCACAAGACGTTGTCGCCTATTGAGTCCGTTCCCCTAGAATTACGGGAAGGGAGTTTGGGCTCCGGTAACTTCACTCACTCGATGAGCAATAACGAAAGAATTACTGAGAAATCTGCGGAGAATCTTTCTACATACACAAGCACATAGTACATCTGACCTTATCACCCGCCAGAAGAGTCACACCAACAACTCCTCTAGTAAACATCAACCAGATCGATAACAAAACCTGAAAAAAAGTAAAATGGTGTAAAAAGTGTAATTAATCCCACCTCAAAGATCGGCAATGACTCTTAAATCGCCGGCGTGCATGGGCGGCAGTATTCACTTTTAATCAGATGACCCGTCTGCTCGTTTGCACCCTGTACAATAAAATGAGGAAAACCGGTCCTCTCTATCATTGCTCTAGAATAGGAGCCTTGCGGAGGCTTTTACGGATGAATAATTTGTACTGTTACAAAGAAAATCACGCACATTCCCGAAAGTTCGATTAACCGGGAACCGTTTAATAATAATGCAGGGTGGCACGAAACAATAAGTTCTATTATATTCGAAACAAATTTGTATTTCTCAGAAGCGGACAGTTCTCGTAGGGATTGGAATTTGCTAGAATAATCTTTTACGAGTAGGTATTATAAATACGAACATGTCTACGTTGAAATTCAGTTCAGTTCGACAGAAGGCTTATTGTTTCAAATCAATGAACCCTAACACGCAACAGTACTTAATACTATCGTGTCGAATTTATTCAGTACTACTTACCTCTAATCCATGTTTTTGTTCTAAAAAGTAAACACTGGTACTCAAATTGTCATAGACTTTACAGAGCAAGTTTATATCATAATAGACTTGGTCGTTATAATTTATGAACTTTATTTTGGGACTCAGTACGTATCGTACAAAGTTATTTGCTTCAACTTCTTTGTTTTTAATTTTATAATAACACAGTTTACGGGATAAGTTTACGTTAATAACTTTAAGAAGGGCCAATATTGTATATAAGTGCATTGACAAATCTACCATGGACAAAAATAAAGGTATGCTTGTAATAATATCATAAGGTGGATTTTTACTCACAATTTCTACAATAGCTAAGATCACGAAACTAATGCATGGTAAAGCAAACCAAGCATATATCTTAATTGCGAATAATTTTAAAATAGTTTGCTCAAAATGAAAGGCGTGAAAAATATCATTAAACACATCATGTAATTTGATGCACACTTCCCCATCTCTTAAAACATTTAAAATAATAAATAGAATATTAATGGTTAAATTATTAATTTGTGATAGTAATTCTATATTATTTTTAAATGAAAATTCAGTTGGTGTTATACTTAAACAAAATGTGGCAATGAAAATTACTGCAATAAGTAAACACCAAAGCTTCATCCATGAAGTAACTGGTGAAGATTTTCCTTTGATTATATCGTATGGTCTTAAAATACCAAAAATATTAGAAATACAGTTAAATGGAACTAAATATTGGTAAAACATTTTTATTTTGAAATCTGGAGCAAATATTTCAACTGTAGGAGTCAACACAATGATGTAGTTACAATGGCATTCGTCTAATGGCATTCGTCATGTTAACTCATAATAAAGTCCAATTAAATTCGAATTCTCTGATAATATCTTTACCTCTATTATAACACTCACTAAAAGTGATGCAGGTAGGTACGCTATAACATGCTATTTCAATTTATGTTATTTCCAATTTGAAAGTGTCCAAAATATTTAACACTGATCACAAGGGTGTTTGGGACAATCTTGCCTACGTATCTGGGTCAATTGGTACGCGTGCGTACCTTCCTGTGTGTTTATATATATGTTTGTAGTACGTTTGTATTTATGTGTGGGATATTCTAAATGTACGGCCAGCAACAAAAATCTGTGTTTGTTTTTAGGTGTTCTGTGTAGGAGTGTACTTTATGTATATTATGTATGTATTTACAAATATATAAGTATGTTCATCAGCAGTATGGTTACTATAGTACAGGCTCTGCCTAGGTTGGGATCAGATGGCCATGTGTGAAATGTGTGAGAATATTATATTTTATTATCGTATTTTGCGAATTTTGTTTATCTGAGGCCCAAGTGTGAGTTTCTATCACTTTACTCGACCGTTATGGTGACAGCGTTCGGCGCTGCTATTGGACCGCACTGAAATTTTCACCAATCACAACGTCGCACGCGCTCACTGTCGAGAGCGAGTTGATGTGAAATAAACTTTCACAAGGCCCTCTGGTATAATCCAAACCCAAGTTATGAGGGTCGAAAAAAACGACTTAGCCGCGCACTACCATTCCTCCAGATACCGAACACGTACTTGGCTGTATTTTTAGTTTTGACTTAAACCTATGAGAAAACTGGTGTCAGTATGGTGAAAACTACGCCTGTAGCAGACCTACGCCTACACACCCATTTCACTATTCTCTCTCAGGAGAGGTCTCCCACGAAAGCGATTCTTCAGTACAGTACAGTGAGCCGTCCAATACGAGTACGTATTGGACGGCTCACTTAAGTGATACCACAGGATTATAAAACAACCGGTGTTAACTAATTCCTTGGTTGCTTTTCACCGAGTAAGTAAGGTTATGTTTGGCAGTATTATAGTGATTCATCCATTCCTTTAATAGTCCACTGCTGGGCATAAACCATTACGATTACGGAGTGTCAAATGAATCCTAAAAATGTTTGACGACGTCTGAGATCGTTTCGCCTACGGCAAGAGTCAGTGCGCCATAGAAAGTAATGTGAAGAAGACAAAAGAAGACTAATGTCTGACTACCCATTGTTTTGAATAATATTGCGATTAGTATCCACTATCCACATCTAAGTTGGGTAGTATTATAACAATGAGTAGGTACGTGATTACACAATGTATACCTATGAATCACCATATAATCATTATCAATCATTATCTACTTGGCACATACAAGAATACGCTCTATAAATGGATTATGAAAACATGATATCATTGATAAATAAGTTTTATTCGTCGCCGCACAAGCTCCCACCCGTCACAAATATAATATTGGTGTCAACATTGACACTCCTACGGCGGCAATGATTTCACAGGTACAATATGAATTGATGACGTTACATGTGAAATCATGCTTGTTTTTTTTTTACGTGTTAAAACCCCCTCGGGCCGTCACCCCACCGGGGTTCGCTGCAGGGTGGTGTGTCGAAATCGGACCGACTAAAACCACACGGTGTGCCACTCTGCGCCTGTAATAGGAGGATTAAGACATCCGGACCCCATGTGAAATCATCCTCAGTCAACTTTACGTCAAACATAAATCCTGTAATTGCGAATTACAGAATGTGCTTAACATTAGACGGTGAGATCATAATTGGTGCGTAACTGTGATAAAAACAAATACGGGCGAAAGCAAAACTGACTTGAGTAGTCGAATTTCTTCTATTAAAAGTATGATTCACGAATCGCATCCGTTTATGTTAAATTGGTTGTTAAGTAGGTATTATTTGAAACGACTTCTTATGGGAGTAAACCGTTTCGTTACGTAACGCGTTATGGCACCAGTCTGTCTGGCTTCCCTTTCTCTCACGCATACGGCAGCGGTATGCAGGCTCCTCTCTCTCACTCTAAGCCACAGCGCTAGCCGTATTTCGGACAGACGCTTTACATAAAATTTAAGTACCTAAGTAACCTAAGCTTTTCTCAAGTTAAACAATTTCAATATTAAATAGTTCAACTTAGATTAGTTTAAGTTATCACTTATGTCGGGCGTCCCGAGACACACACGTGTTTTTTTAGGTAAAGGTGACGTTTAGATACGTGACGAAGTAAGTAAATAAATAAAATAAAGAAGAAAATAAATAAATACCTTCCTTTTTAACTCTAAAACATGCTAAAATATACTTTTTTTGTTCTTGACCATATCTTATCACCAAATGAGTCGAAGTTTCTAGCGATATGATAGCAATATTATGAATCAGATGACAGGTACAAATAAACGATAAATAACTTCTTAGTCCAGTAAAGTGGTTTTATCAGTTGAAGACACCTGTTACCACTATATTTTTTTTTACATATATTTGTGTTCTGTGCAATAAACCAATAACAAGTAAATCATGTCAAACTGTAAGTATAATACTATGTATACCAAAAGCTCTATTTTTTTCTGTAAAGAATTTATACGTATCATGTAAAAAAAATCAAATATTACATTTATTTGTAAACTGAAACACGATAATACTTATTTTTTATCTAAAGATATCTGGACTGACTTTGTGGACTTATCGCAAAAATTCTTGTATCTACTGAATATTCTTGTTACAAAAATGCGTATTTGATATGAGTTAGTGAGCTAATATATATTATAAATATACCCTTTTATTTCGTGCGGAATGCCCGGCGGATAACCGGACGAGCGGTGGGGTAGTTATGTCGGACTCGACCTGATGAACGGACCCCGGGACATTTACGGCTTACCGATGGGCGCCCTCGTGTTTCGGCACTCGGGCACGCTCCGAAAGCGCGTCGAGCCGCCACCCCGATCTGCTTCTGCTAGGGTGACAGAAAACTTCGTGAACATAACTTGCTTGCAGAAAGAAGCGGCGGAGTTCCACGAGGACTCGCTCCATATCATGGCCGCAATCAATATTATAATAACCTCACAAATCCTCCGATCCTAAACTAGATGCTGTACCTGCCATGGTAACTAGACTGCTGATAAACATACTGTATTTCTAAATACATACATAATAATACAATATAATAGAAAAAATTATAGGGTTATGTGAAGTTTAAATTAACGACAGTATGATTTTTACACGAACACGAAATATTTCAGATCCACCAAACGGTCCTCCGCCTCCATACGGATATGGACAACAGCCGACTCCGGGCTCAGTGCCTGGCTACGCTTATGTACCGGCTCCTGTGCTGATGCCAATGCAGATGTATCCGCCACAGCCACAGCCACAGCCACAACCGGAGCCGGTGCAGCCTCCACCGACATACGTCACTAATTACATCTATCAACAGACCCCGCAACCAGAGCCTTGTAATTACAGCTTATTTGCCTTAACAACGAGTATGATACAGCGGCAGTGCATTCGACTGTAACGTTCGCCACAGGTTCGATGCCTGCTCATGCAAATGTTTGCATGCATATACAAATATTTATATAGGTTTATCGGATAACATGCATCTATATGCGAGTTCTAGAGGCGATATCTTAAGCTGTACTTAGTTTTATCTCAAAACAGCTTTTGATTCGAGTAACGAGACAAATTCTATATGTAATGGTAATTCCGCGACAGATCATCCACCTGTAGCCACGGTTTCTCAAAGCCGCCCAGTGACATTCCCAGGCCTTCGTGAGAAGCTAGAGCAAACATTGTTGAAGGTGGATCAATGTGTCACTAAAGTTCTGAGACCCTCTGGTAATACATGTTTTAATGTTTCACATCCCTTCACATGTTTGAACAACCTGACCTTTATTTTACCCAAAACCTGTTTTTGTACAATTTTATCTAATATAAGTACTTGTTACTTCTAACCGTATAATTCGAGTGCAACTTTACGGACGGTGAACAAATCATTGTTTCAGAAAAAAAACATATTTAAAAAATATTTTAAAAATAATACAGAATAACTTGAAATCTAAGAAATAATTATCTTTTTCTCTTTCATTAAAGTTACTCCCACTTATATAGTGGAATAAATACGACAAAAATGACAATAGCTCCAACTCTGCAATTTTATTTTGTTTTAATTTGACTGATTTGTTTGACTATTGGTGGGTTTTCCATCCAGGATCAACAATTTTGTGTGTGTGTTTTTTATGTATATATTTATTATTCTTGAAGGTAAAAAACCTATAATATGCATGTACTTATTTAGTAATATATATAAGTACACATGTTTATGAGTGGTCTAGTTATGATATACGGACTCTGTCTAGTTAGGGATCCGTTGGCCATAGAAGAATGTATTGCAAGTAGATTTGTCTGATTGATTGACAACCAGCAACATTTACTTAACATTTATTTTAAACAATTTTCAGTAATCGACTGGGTTAACGTTAACACAGCTACAGCGTCGACATATAGTCATAGAGCTTTCGTAGCGGGTAAAGAAGGTTGGGATGACAGCCCTCTCTGGGTGATTAGAGCCCACTACAACGGAGACTTTGTGCCGGGGAAGTTTGCTCTGAAGAGTCGTGCGGCTTACATACCTCATGGTGGGAAAGAAGTGCCTGTACAAAACTTCGAGGTAAACGAATATACCAAATATTTAAAAGGTATCATATAGACCAGGGATTGTCAAAGTGGATTGTCAAAATCTGTTTCCCATGGGTCGACATAAACGAAAACTGATTTTGGGGGTCGACGGGGTCTAAAAATCGACCCCTATTAATCATTACAAGTTCTTATATGAAACCTATTAAGTAACACAAATCTTTATTTGAAACTTTCAAGATACTGTATTAGTTGTGTTATGTGTACCAACTTGTTATAACAATAACTAATATTTTAGTAGGAAGTATCATTCTTGTACTTTTTATAAACTCAACAAGTCCTTAAGCGTGAAGTAATTTGGTTGGCTGAGGTATCAGTTCATTTTAGAAAAGGGGTCTGTTGCCCAAAATTATTTGGGAATCCCTGATATAGACCCTGTCTCTATTAGACACAGACAAATTTTTTTTCTATAAATGGTCAAGTCATCATCATCGTAAGATATACATGTCAGAGCCATGCTTTGGCTAAAAGTGGTCCGTCTCGACCGAAGTGATACTACCACCTCATATAAAACCAGTTTTTAGCAATTCTTTCGGACCTTTTCACCGAGTGAGTGAGGTTAACGGAGCCGAAATCGCTCCTCCCTCTGATTCTGGGGAGAGATCGCAAAGGGCGACAACGCACTCGTAACTGAGTTGCGGGTTTCCATGGCCGGTGACGCATCTGCTCGTTTGCCCTCCTATACAAAAAAACCTTCCTGATCTTTTCATATTTAAATTGGAGTCGGTGCAATATGCTACCTTGCAATATGTACACGTAGCGCTTTCTGATTTCTTTTCCGAACGTCTACTTGTACTTGTAATCATTTACTAAGGGACCAAAAGAAGAAGTTACATTGGGATAACGGGAAAGGTAATAATATACTCGGACAGTGTCATTGAGGACTGACAGTCATAACAAGATTTTGCTACGATCTTTAGCTACTGGTCACTGCTATAATAATAATTAAGTTTGGTCAAGAACGAAACAGTTGTTACAAATATATTGCTATCTCAATTGATAAATGTATAATGTTAACAGGTACTACTGGCTGCACCGCATGCTCTACGTTGGCTACCGAGTAGTCACGGACAAGTCCCAGCTGGGGCCATCCCAGCAGGCAATACTAACCAAGGAGAAACACTTTATATTGCACGTGTCAACCATCTACGATCTACTACCCCCGGCAAGGTAAGATATCAGTGTTATTAAATATTATATTTCACATCAACAGCCTTTAATAGTCCACTGCTGGAGATAGGCCTCTCCTTAGAAAGGAGGTTTTGGCCTACTATACCACGCTGGCTAAACGGGTTGGTATAGGGTTTGTGTCAAGTTTTCCTTCTCTCTGCAGTGCTGGTGCCCTGCCTAGTTTTTTTCCCTTAGTCGGCTCTTACGACACCCACGGGATGAATAGGGGTGGTGACACTCTGTATTCTTAATCCGTCACTACACGGACCGAAGTTTTTTTTGTTTGTTAACAACCCACTCAACAACAAGCAATGACTTAAGATAAGCTATACTTAACGCAAAACATACAGAGTGACAAAATATGCAATTGGATTGTTAATTGTGCTTAGAAGTGTACAGTATGTCCATCCTTAGGTTACAATATGTCCTAATGACAATGGCGTTCAAAAAGATTTTATTTAATATTTCTCATAGGAGTGTTTGAAACTTTAGTATTATGAAAACAGGAAGGCATTAGTTCATGTACTGCCGTCCTGAAACTTCACGTCGGCAAGTGACGAACCATTCTCAAGCGAAATTGACGACGGCAGAATATCAATACAGTGATTTAAAGCTATTTGACTATAAGTTATGTCATTTATTACGTTTCGTTACAGGTTCATCCAAGCCACGGTTGCAGTTACATTTCTTTCGGTGGATCTGAAATTCCTTACAAACAATATGAAGTATTGTGCAGGATTGTGGGTTGAAAGTGTACAAACGAATAAAACATAATTATATTTTCCAAATTATTGGCCATATTATAAAGAATGTAATGTTAAAAATGTTTTTATGAATATAAATAGTGCAGCTTCCATTAACACATAACATTTTTGTTGACTCAAAATTAAAATTAACCGTATAATAAAAATAGATAATTCACTTTCTTTAGTTGCATTTATTTTTATCAGATATAGATTATTTTTTAATGTTAGAGGGGGCAGACGAGCAGTCGGGCCAACTGATGAAAAGTGACCATCGCCGCCCATGAACGTCTGCAACTCAGGAGTCACAAACGTGTTGCCGGCCTTTTAGGAAGGAGTACGCTCATTTCTTGAAAGTTTGAAGGTCGTATCGGTCCGGAAATACCCGATCCACCCGTTCCACAGATTGGTTGTGCGGGGCAAAAAGTGTCTCGAAAAGCGCGCAGTAGTGGAGCGCCAACTATCCAGGTAATGGGGATGAAAATTTTGCCAAGTTTAACGATGACGGAAAGTTGCGGCTGGTATTAGTCCACCACCACCACCAATTCCTCGGAGCACTCTCAATGGTTTATGCGATAGAGAACGCAGATTGAAGACACATCTCTACGTAACGCAACGGGATCGAGCCGATCGGAGTTGTTTGCGCTATCGACGATTGTTTTACGGAAAGATAGAGAAAAATATAAATGGGTCATACATTTTCATTTTCAAAGAATATTGGACTAGAGCGATTTAAACGTAAATAGAAATAGACGTAATATGACTTGGAAGAAAAAAACTGACCTATGCCTAACGTGACCATAGGTCCCGTTTCGAACGGGACTGTCCCATAAATTATTCCGTGTTTTACTGATAGAGTAGCCACCAGAGTTGTTAAACAACAGGGGGCCAGCAGATCGCGGATTTTTTGGTATTTTAATTAAATAGAATAGAATATAATATATTATAATGTATTTAGAATAGAATAATCTTTATTGTATTCCAAGTTAATGACCATGTACAAATGGCTACCTCATCGCTTAAAAGCAATCTCTTACAGTCAAGGTGCATTTATGTACACCAATTACGTATATAAGTAATATGGATATTACAGACAGATTCCCTTCATTTCTAAAGTGCTAGAGGCCTGTATATGTGCTCAGCTGCAGAAGCAGCTCTCACAGTTTGTACATCAGCAGAATCTTCTTAGTCCCTTACAATCTGGGTTCAACCACACTGGGTCACACTACAACCACCGCTCTTCACAAAGTGACGGGCGATATTAGGGAGGGCATGGACCGTCTCCTTCTGCGAGCAAGTTATGCTCGCGAAGGAGACGGCGGATCGGGACCGGGAGAGGTTTAGAACTCGCCCGGCCCACCAGGACCGGGAACGGGCTAGGTACCGCAGGCGACTCAGGCGCCGGAGGTCGCAGAACGACCTCCGTCCTCCATAAGCGCAGGCCTGGGGGTGACATGTGAGGCCATCTGTCACCCTAGCAGGAGCAGGCTGGAGTGGCGGCGAGCGCGTTGCGAAGCGCGCTCGCTTCCAGGGAGCAGAGGGAACATGGGGTTCCCACACGGGGGGGGGTCGTCTACTCGTCTGTAGATGGCCCTAGGTATGTCGGGGCACCAGGGACTTTCTTTCTAGGGTATAGCTGGTTCCCCGGCTATTAGTACCCGAGACGGCGTGCGGTTTTAGTCGGTTCGAGTCCGACATGCCACTGATAGGTGGATTTCCGCAAGGAAAAAAAAAAAAAAAGGAGGGCATGGAGAACACCAAAGTCACAATACTGGCTTTGATTGATTTCTCGCATGCCTTTAATACCGTTAGTCATGACGTTATACTGGCTATCCTTTCCTATCTTATAATCTCCTCAGAAACTCTGATTTGGTTCTCCTCCTATCTTGAGGGGCGACAACAGTGTGTTCATATTGCTGACTTGTCGTAGAGTTGGTGTGATCTTCTCACTGGTGTCCCTTAAGACGGTATAATATCTTCCTTATTATTCACAATATTCATTAATCTCATAACCCAACACCTTCAGTGTACGTATCACCTGCACGCTGATGACTTGCAAGGGTACACACATTCACGGGTTGAGGACATAACATACGTCATCGAAAAAGTCAACAAAGACTTGGAATTTATAAAGAGCTGTTCAACGAGGTTTGGTTTGTCAGTAAATCCAACCAAATGCCAAGTAATCGTCGGGGGAAGTAAATAAATCTTAAGTAGGTTGGATATGCGGTCATCCCACCAGTTGTCTACAGCAACGTGACTATACCTTTAAGTGCAGTGGTAAATAACCTGGGGTTATATATCGCCTCGACACTTGACTGGCGGGTATAAGTTACACACGTCAGCCAGAAAGACACCACATGTCTGAATAACTTCGTTCCCGCTAAAGCTAAAGCAACGCTTATGTAGTCCATAATAATTATTCCCTTAATCGACGATGGTGATGTGTGTTATTTTGACCTGAATGCAGAACTTCTCAATAAATTAGATCGCCTTCTCAATAACTGCAATCGATTCGTTTTCAATCTTCGCAAGCATGAGCACGTGTCTGCTTTATGTTCCCAGTTGCAATTGCTCCCAATTCGTCAGCGCGGCAGTTTGCAAGCACTGACTTCTCTCTTTTCTTTCCTCAACTCTCCATCGTTACCTGAATACTTCGTACCCCACTTCCGTTTCTTATGCTCCAATCACGACCGAAATCTTTGCTAAACAAACACTATGCCTCTTATATAACAACAAAGATAAAACTCAATAAAAATGCATTTTATGTACGACGACGTCCTATTTGCAGTAAAAAAAGCCGTGTGGTGTCGTGGGACACCCGATAGGAACGAAGTTGTGACGATCGTGAAAAACTGATTTGACACGATTTTAATTACAACGCCATCTATGAAAGCGGCTATTACCTACATATTAAAAACAATTAAAACAATTTATACATTGGTAAAATCTCCTTGCGAAATGATTTCCTATCTAAGTAAGAATACAAATTGTCACCACCCCAATTCATCCCGTGGGTGTCGTAAGAGCCGACTAAGGGAGCAAACTAAGCAGGACAACAGCACTGCAAAGAGAAGGAAAACTTGAAACAAACCCTATACCAACCCGTCTGGCCAGCGTGGTATAGTAGGCCAAAACCTCCTTTCTAATTAGAGGCCTATGTCCAGCAGTGGACTAGTATAGGCTGTTGATGATGATGATGATGAATGTCTGACAAGATGACACGAAAATAAATAGCAAAAAGCTAACATCACGTGGTATTCCCAGGCGGTCACCCATCCAAGTACTAACCACGCCCGATGTTGCTTAACTTCGGTAATCGGACGAGAACCGGTGTATTCAACATGGTATGGACGTTGGCAAACGTTAAAGCAAATTTAATGTATGGTATCCACAGTTAGACGTCAATTTATAATAATAAAAAAGTGTCGTTCCAAATTTTCGTACGAATTTTTTCCGTCTAGCCCCCTTTCACAACGCGCGATAAGGAACTTCGTTCCAAAAAACCCGGCCAAGTGCGTGTCGAACATGCGGACTTAGAAAGAGGGCTTTTTATTTTATATTTCTTAACAAAGAAATAACGCATGTTTTATCTTGGGCGACTGTTATTCTTTTAAAATAACAGAACTAACATTTTCTTTCTTTTAAAAGACAACTCCTGCACTAGAAACATAATCCTGTGTCGCAGGGAACTTTACAAACATACAAACGGACACAAAGAACACCCAGACTCAGGACAACAATTTGTGGATCACACAAGGGGATGTTCCATGTGGGGAACGAGCGCTCATCACTTATGGTCCGTGAGCCAGGCCCAAAATTTTGTCAATTATTTCCTCTCAGTCAATAACTTGTAAATGCTTCAGAGAGTTGTATCCTGAAACGTGGTGATCGTCAGCTCCGGCTCCGTGGGTGGGTTGTGCATTGAAACCGTTAAAGCACGTAATAAAAAAATTAATCATTTACTCCCAATTGAAAATTTATCAAATTATACTTAGCCCAATCCCAATCACAGTGATCCACCTCAAGCAATGTCCTCGACAACCGTTCGCGAACAGATGGAAAGAATTGGTAAAGATGGCGCCCCTTGGATGATTCATCCCAGCGTTGTTGCCATTCGTCTATGAGGTCATTATAGACATCGGACTGCTGTTGAAGCAATCTTGTAATTTTACCGCGATCCCGCGCGCCCAAAAAATTGCATTCCATATTTTGTTGTCTTGAATAGTACATGGCTGCACGTCTCTGCACTTCGAGATCGACCGGAAGCACACCCGCCAACACCGGCAAAGCCTCAGTGCTAACCGTCCTATATGCCTTGCACAAGAATATCAGTGCAAGTCGTTGGCCTTGTAACAGTTTGCGACGGACAGCGCCTACGGTCGCCCTATCGGCCCATACAGGTGCACCATAGCACATAGAACCTAAATAAGTAGCTCCGTATATGATCTTTAATGTATTAAATGATAGACCCCATGTCGCAGTTGATATTCTTGTCAATGCACAGAAACTCTTTTTAGACTTTTCATTAACTATTTTAATATGTTCGATAAATGAAAAGTTTCTTTCTAAAACTAATCCTAGGTAACACACTGAGGCCTTATTTTTTACAGTAACATTGTCAAATCTAATGCTTGGCGGTGATTTGAGGTTACCTTTTAAAAGTAGCTGGAAGGTTTTGTTGGGTGCAAAATTTAAGCGATTACGTTCACCCCATTGAGATATCAAGTTCAAACATCTATTGGCTAATCTCTCAAGCCCCGCCCTAGTATCAGATTCCACCAGTAATAAGCCGTCATCAGCATACGCGTTCAGAGTACATCCGGATGGTATTGGTATCGCAAGAAAATCGTCGAAGCCGATATTCCACAAGTATGGACCTAGCACCGATCCCTGAGGACATCCCAGTGTAAGCGCCTTCGACACAGAATGATGACCAAGTCTTAGTTTAGTAGTACCTTGTGAAAAGTACGAAGATATAAGGGAATAAATATTTTTAAAGCACC